TATGGGTTTATCCCAAGAATTCAAGGTTGGTTTAACATTCAAAAACCAATCAATGTAACTAACCATATTAACAGTCTGAAATAGAAAACCCATATGATCATCTCAATAGATGCAGAAAAAGAATGTGACAGCCTCCAACATCTACATTCAATAAAAACTCAGAAAACTAGGACTAGGAGGGAATGTCCTCACAATGATACAGGGCTTCTATGAACAACCTACAGCTAATATCATCCTTAATGGTGAGACTGAATGCTATCCTTATGCACTAGGGAGCCATATGCAAAAAATAACAATGACGGAAAAACAAAACAAAATGTCTTTGATCCATGCCTTGAACCATACAAATTAACAAAAACTGATTGTAAATCTAAATGTAACACCTAAATTTCTAAAATTAAAAAGATTAACCAAAGCAAGTGTTGGCAAGGATCTGGGGGCACTTGGGACTCTCATATACTGATGATGGGAATACAGTATGGTACAGGCATTTTGGAAAAACAATTTGGAAACTTAAAGAAGTTAAGCATATACCTAACATATGACCCAGCCATTTCCCCTGGTTTTTACCAAGCAGAAAGAAAGCATATGTTCATACAAACTTGTCTGCAGATATGCACAGGAACTTTATTTGTGGTAGCCAAAAAAAATGGAAACAACCCAAATGGACATTAACAGGTAAATGTATTAAACTGTGATTATACACAAACAATGCAGTATTACTCAGGAATAGAAGTGAACTATTTGTATGTGCAATACAGATAGATCTCAAAATAACCATATTTAGTGAAAGAAGCCAAAAACACTTGTTGTGTAATTCTATCGAAATAATATTCTAGAAAACTCAAACTAACCTAAAGTGACAGAAACAGATTAGTGGTTGTCTTAGAAAGTGGGGAGAGGTGGGAGGGAGGGGTTGTGAGGGAGCAAGGGAAAACTCTTTGGGGTGATGGACGTTAATTACCTTGACTGTGGTGATGGCTTCATTTATGTATACACATCAAAACACCAAATTGTACACTTTAAATATGTATATTTTATTGTGTGTCCATTATACCTCAATGAGTTTGTAAATAAAGTGTAAAATTTCACATGGAAAATAAAAACATGAGAATGTGCTTATCATCATTAGTTAATAAAGAAATATAAATTAAAACCAATTGGGTTCCAATACAGTCATTGGGGAAAGGATAAAGCTTGTTTACTGTGCTTCCGTTTTAGAGCAGAAATTTCACTGATTTAGAAATAACATGAACTCATAATAGCCTTTAAAGAACATGGTCATATTCTTTGATTTCGACGTCTCATGGAGCCTCTTCTCTGGTGCCGTTCCATCCCGCCGCATTAGCCATGTGGCACAGTCTAATGGGCGCCCCTAGGAACCCAGGTTTGCTCTCTAGTTGGTCTCCATTAAAGGAAACGGCATTCCTTGCTGAGCAATGTATTCCATCTTTGAGAAAGAATAATTCAAGCAGAGTTTTGAGTTATCTTAACTACTATCACACACACGGAAACGTTTTCATTAGTTCCTGATGGGGTTGGTGTTAAAGAGGTCAAGTGGTAAACTCGAGGGGAGGCCTGCTAGGCACAAACAACCTAAGTGTCAACTAAAAGATTATACACCCACCATAAATGCTAAGATAAAAAAGATAAAAAACCCACAAAAGCTGGAGAAAATATGGAGCACTGGAAGACTGTTGGGAAGAAGTTCTGGCAGTTTATGAGCCTTAACATATTCCTACTCAAGGACCCAACAACTTCATCCTTAGATGTTTACCTATGAGGAATAAAGACATATGATAGAATATTCACAGCAGCTTTATTCATAACAGGTTTTTTAAAAGTAGAAACAGCCCAGGTGTCCATCAACAGGAAAAAAAAAAACACAAAACTGTGACATATTCATACAAAGAATACTCGGCGATACAAAGGAATGAACCACGGATGAATACAACATGAAGTAATCTTAAAAGCATGCTGAATGAAAGAAGCATTATGCTTTGTATGGTATCGTCTATATAACATTTGACAATAAGCAAATTTAATCTGTGAGGTAACATAATCAGAACAGTAGTTACACCTGATGGGTAGAGTGGGCTTGGTTGGAAAGGGGCATGAGGAGACTTCCTGGGGTCATTGTAATGTTCTGAGTTTTGTTAAGGGTTTGGAATACACAGGTGGATGCATTTGCAACAACTCAGCAAATTTATACTTAACATTTGTGCCCTTCATTGCATGGAAGTGGACATCAAAAATTTTAAAAACTGAACAGTATTAAACTATGTAACAATATGCATGTTGAAGTATTAAGGAAAAAGAATACCAATGCCTGCAATTTATTTTGAAATGAATTATAAAAGTAACATAAATAGGTAAATAAAAAAAAATAATGTAAGGCCCTGGCTGGTGTAGCTCAGTGGATTGAGTGTGAGCTTTAAACCAAAGGGTTTCTGGTTTAATTCCCAGTCAGGGCACATGCCTGGGTTGCAGGCCAGGTCCCCAGTGGGGAGCATGCCAGAGGCAACCACACATTGATGTTTCTCACCCTCTCTCTCTTCCCTTCCCCTCTCTCTAAAAATAAATAAATAAAAAGTAAAAAACTACTTCTCACCATTGAATGAAGAATCATCTCCTGTGTCACCATATGTGACATACAGTTCAGCCAACTGTATTTAGCCAAACTTAGTCCCAAATTTGGCTATCCATTCAATCATCATTTTAAAAACCACTTATTAAACACTTTCCTATGTACCCAACATTGTAATTGTCAGTATGCTATATATGGGGTAAAATAGCATCCTTTGCCTTTTGAGAGCTTTGGAGGAAATTCAGCATGAATTTCCATCAAACAAATCTGGATGTTTCCCAACTCTGCACTTATTGGTTGTAGGACCTGGGCAAATTAACTTCTGTGATCCTCACTTTTCTCATCTGCATGTTGTACTTCACACCTCGTATCATTATGTTGAATGCTGAAACAATTCATTTCACTTGTATCACAATGACTGGTAGGTAGAAAGCATGCAGTAAATATAACCTAGCATTTAAAAACTCGTATGTACAAGACACAAAACATTCAATTGGTGGAAGAATGTGGAGCACCTTAATTTGTTTAAGTAGAATGACATCACCTCACTAGGTAGTTCAAATAGTAACTGTGATAAGATTTCTTTTGTTTTCTCCCAGTGTCGTGAGAAATGCTTTAGAAAGTCAAAGAACGATAATCGTGCTGCATTGATATGGTGAGAATACAGAATCTTAGATCAAGAAACGAAATGAAGAAATACACCTCTTATAGCTTACCATCTAGACCTGTTGAAAGAAGCTACTCTGCCTCATCTAGTCTTGCATTAAACACTCAGAAAGGTCACCCCATAATATTGTGTGCTTGGCGCTAGCAACTGTTAAGTAGGCAGCACACAGGGAAGGCCTGTAACACAGTCAGGTAGAGAAGAGGGTTAAGGTGCGGTGGTGGGGGAGGTGGGCTCTAAACCACAGCTTCCCTACATCCCCATGAGAAGGACAGTTTCAGGCCTGGCAGGTGACAGAATGAGCAGCTGTCTGCCACTGGGGGAAGCTGGGGAGCCCCTACCTTTCTGGGAAGCATTATATTGTCTCCTGGTATGTGTGTTATCTGTAAATTTCCCATTTCTTTGCTATCTTCAGTATGTTTTGCCATCTTTTTATCAACATCCTGTTAACCCTCATGCAGCCCACATTCCCATGTAACATTGCAACTGCCTGACACTAAGTAGTAGCAGTTGTCCTTGTCCTTTCAACAGGGGCAAAGCCCTCCCATTTGTTACATGGCCCACAATTCCCTACTGTTTTCACACTGTGCACTTTTCCTGCTTGGCCCATATGGCATTTAGATCCTGGTCTGGTTTGATTTTGGCAGTGGTGAGACATTAGGAGTTTCGAAGGAGTCAGATGGGATTAGTCTAGAAGCATACACCCACACACCCCTCATGAACAAAGCAGACTGGAATCTCGGTTCTCAGATGCCTTTCCGAGTAGATGACTTCCTTTCTAGCATTTCATCAAAAGAAGGAAATAACTTAAAGGACAAGGAGAAACTCAATAAACCTCTTTTTGAAAAAATCTTACTGGATTCCAGTCTTAGGACATCCTTTCCTGAAACATTCTTGGAAACAAAGAGCAGGCTTTATACATCTGCTTTGAAACCCACAAAACACTGCTTTCTTTCTTTTCTCTGGTATTTTTAATCTATTCCCTCTTTTTCAAAATTTAAATTAACTGGGCAGGACCATTTACTTAGTGTCTAATTGGAAGTTTGGGGTTATATCTAGCACATTGAAACTATTCAACTGCTTTGTAATCACATCATGTCTCTAAAATGCTCTGAAAGCTTCAAATATTGAATTGAATAGTATTATTAAATATGCATAAACTAGAATGAAATTTTCAATTAGTGGCTACAAAAGTATTCAAATTTAATATATGAAGATAGTTTTATCATCCTGCACATGAAGTAATCACTGGTTATAATACACAGATTGAATTTTTAGCCCACATATAAATGTTTTCTCTTATTCTAAAATGTTACCAATCTCCTTTTTTGTTGCACAGAAGATGGCTTTAGGCTTGTTCCTTTTATTTCTTTTAAATTTATGGACTCTGCTACTAATTTCTTGACTTTTAGAATAGCTAATACCTGTTCTGTCCTCAGCCCTCTTGGTTATAATAAGCTTGAAATTTACCCACAAACTTTAAGGGCAGAACAGGGCAGAATTTACATGACTCTTAACTTGAGATCAAGCCAAAACTGAAGGAAAAACGAAAGGATTTTAGTAAATCATCAAAGCTAAAATCCTTCATTTTTACCCTTAAATTCAAATGAGCAATGATTTTCACTGCCGTTTTCTCCCCTTATATTTTCACTAGTTATTCGTGTGAGGCTGACTCAGCAGAACGTGCTCAACACGTGTGTTGCAACAATCAGATTTCTCAAGCAGAAAGCATGAAGAAATATTTTCTCCTTTTACTTAGGTTGCTTTTATTTAACATTCTGAAGAATGATTATCTGAGTTCAAGGGTCATATTTGGATCAATTCTAACAAAGAAGAAAAAAATACTCGTTTCACAACCATGATAAAGCCAACAGTTTTTTGTAGCTAAGTAGTCATCTCCCAAACTACTCCCGAACTACCTGCTCTTCTGCAGGAGCGGAACCGGTGCAACCCGGAGTACCTTTATCTTATTGTACAGGTGTGAAAATATTGCCTAAGCACAATTGGAAGATACACCAAATATACAAAATGGTGAAAAAGTATAATATTTTTAATAATCAACAGCTAAACAAGCTACATATTGGAAAAAATTTCACTTAAATTTTGCTTGGAACCTTTTACATTAGTCTATGATAGAAACACAAATAATCAAAGGAAACATCAAGCCAAGAGAATAAAGCCATGGAAGAAAAAATAATCTGTACAAATATAGAACATAGACACATGTATAAGATTAAAAAAAACTGCAATGACACATTTTTGGTTCAAAAGTACGTTTTCACATTCCAGATGTCATTTCTCATCCTTAAGCAAAGTTTGGTATAGAGGACACAGGATTTCTTCCCTTATCTTTTTTATCTTTCTTTTTGTCTCTCCTTCTTAGTCTTAGCAATCACAATTCCACAATACCCTTTAAGAGCCATATTAAACACCTGATTGAAATACATTTTACATTTACCACCACCTAGGTAAAAGCTCTAAAAGTCTAGGCTTCTTTGGGGGGGGGGGCATTCTAAAACTCCTTTACATAAGATGAAGTTCTCACCACCCTGTATGGCAAGAGTTTACAAAAGAAGTCACAGTCATCCAAAGTAATTACAAGATCTTTTCTGGAAAATACTGGAGAACTTGATATATGGGTAATAAAAAGGACTGGACACAGTTGCTGGGGTGTATGGCTAAAAGTCTCATATGTTACATCTCAAAATTTAAAATGATCTCACTCTTTTTTTCAACTTCTGTTGGTGGTTTCTTCTTCTTCCCCAGGGTCACAGACCATCTGGTAAACATAGCAGCTGAAGACCCTGCTGGGTTTCTGCTCTATGTGCAGCACCAAGTCTCTGTCAAAATAAACTTCATGGCTGTATGTCTGCAATGGAAACACAGTCAAATGGAGGCTCTTCATATAACCATATTCACTCCAATGTCACTAAAACGTCATAGCGCCTATGTTAGCGATCTTCAAATATACACTTGGGGGCAAAATAGTTGCCAGAAATGGTTTACTTTTCATTACTTGTGGATATGCAGGTCACTTATGAGAAAAGCATGACATAAAATGCCTAGATGAAAAGAGCCCTGGACTTAGGAGTCTGAATACCCAGATTCTATTGCCAACCCTGCAACGGCTGTACTGTGTGACTGCAGGCACGTTGCTAAACCTCTCAGGCTTTCCATTACTAAAACAAGAATTGGATAAAGTAATGTCTACTATTCCTTACAACTTGTATATTCTATAATACTCAGAAGAGTAGGCAAATGCTTCCGAGAGTGCCTGGAAACCCTCCATACTGAGATATGACCTCTATTAAATAACTGTGGGGATGCAAAATAGTAAGTATACTTTTAATTTTTTAAATGTTACCAAACTTTTAAAATGAGAGAAAACCAAAGACTATGGTAAGGAAATAAATGGCATGTCTCAGGAAAAAAACATAAGGCTTTATCTTTAAGGCCACTGGTAAGGCAACATCCTCTAGTCCCAAGAGGAGGAAGTCTTACGAAGTACTCATTTTGTCCTGAGTGTAGTCCAGTAACCTCTTCCAAGTGGCCATTGTTCCAGGTGAGCTGGGACTGACACAAACAGTACATCTGTTTCAATAAATGCCACCTATAAAGAGAACTCATACTACTTTGTATTCCATGAACTCAACTTACCACATCCCATGACTCCACTAGTGGAATGCTTTTCAGTAAAGTTCCATATTCATTACAATGGAAATCTAGGTGAGCTTTTCCTTCGGCATCTATTTGGGTAACAGCTACCACAGAAAGCAAATCCAATTCATCTTCATAGTCCACGATTTTGAAAGTCTTGGGGGAATAGATGGATAAGACAGAGGAAAAGAGGGGCAAATCCAGTTATTCAGTTAGATTATCTCTGCATTTGTAGTCTACACTGTTACTTAGGAAAATATGTAGAAAAAGAATGAATAGGTGGAAACAAAGGGAGAAATGTGTTTCTACTTTTGTGCCTAAAACACTAGTCTCGGGATTTTCAAGACTTAAACAGTATCCTACAGATTTTGACAAACAGAACCAAGTATATGTAGATCTCAGCCAAACTGTAACTGAAATTCTTTATTGTGACAGAGTTTCTCCAAATTTAAAACAGGTATTCAAACACTGTCTCTGACATGAGTGCTCACTGGTTCCCAGATATCTGAAGACTGCCCACTCCACTAGGAAGGTTCTTGTGACAGAAAAAAAAAAGTCATTTTAAGAAAAACTGATAGCTTATCATACACTATTTATGACTCTATTTGTCATCTTTTTTCCCCATCTTTTTTTCTTTTAAACCCTTTTTGGTTCCCCAAAGAAAGCAAAAAACTGCTGCTTATACTTGAGGGAGAATATTAAGAACTGAAATCCATCCCACAAAACAGGAGTCACAGAAGAGATGTTAGTTAGATTAATGATGGTAAAGACATAAGGGAGAAACACCTAACTCCAGAACTCAGGGAAGAAAACCTGGGGCTCCAAGAGCTTCCCGGGGAGCCCCCCCACCCCCAAGAGATACATCCTGGCAGCACAGTAGATTTCTCTTAATCACCATGTACTAATCCTTCACGTACATTTGGTATGTGTAGGATTAATCCATGTGTATTTTCTGCCTTTACCACCTGTGGTATGAAAATTTATATAAATTTATTGCCTGTGGTCCCGTTTCATTTATGATTTTGCCTTAATCTAAACTTGGTCAAACTTCAAAAAGTGACTTCTTGCATGGGTGTCAGTGATTTTATAGATTTTAGCCATGACCCCTTCCAACTTTTCTTTTACAGGCTAAAAGTTTTTGTTTTCTCATAACATAGAATCTCTCTCTCTCTGTCTTTGCTACTATCTTCTCCCCTCTTAATTATACTTGCAAATTTTGGTAATTTTAGTTATGTCTTCCTTGAGTATAGTCTTATATACAGGGTAAGAAGCTTTCTGCTTTGCTCTCAACAGATTTCTGTGGTTGATAAATATACATATTTTCTTTTTTTGACAGCCTCATACTAGGCCACTTCCAACATAGTTTTTTTAATTTTCAAAAACTGGACTTCCAGCCAAGATGGAGGCATGGGTAGATATGCCTAGCAGCCTCACACAACCAAAAGAAGGACAACAATGATTTAAAAACAAAAACAACCAGAACTGCCAGAAAACTGAACTGTACAAAAATCTGACAACCAAGTAATTAAAGAAACATTCATCCAGACTGGCAGGAAGGGCAGAGACCGGCAGCCAGAGTGGAAAAGATGTGTGGTGAGACAGCAGCTTGTGGACTGTGCAGCTGGCGGACCAGGTGGTACCACATTTGCATGTGGATAAACCAGGAGAAACAACTGGGGAGCAAGACAGAGCACATAATCAGAGTTCCAGCACAGGGAAATAAAGCCTCCAAATCTCTGACTGTAAAAATCAGCAGGGGTTGCGGTGGCAGGAGTACTGCCAGTCTCACAGAAGAGTCTATTGGAGGGATCCACAGGGTCCTAGAATGTACACAATCCCACCCACCCACCCACCAAAAGCAGCAAGAGAAAAGGAGACCGTTAGCTACAAAGGAGTTCCCATAAGACTATCAGCTAATTCCTCAAAAGAAACCTTGCAGGCAAGAAGGGGCTGGAAAGAAGTATTCCAAGTCATGAAAGGCAAGGAGCTACATCTGAGATTACTCTCTCCAGCAAAGCTATCATTTAGAATGGAAGGGCAGATAAAGTCCTTCCCACATAAGGTCAAGTTAAAGGAGTTCATCATCACCAAGCCCTTATTATATGAAATGTTAAAGGGACTTATCTAAGAAAAAGAAGAAGATCAAAAATATGAGCAGTAAAATGACAACATACTCACAACTGCCAACAACTGAACCTAAAAAATAAAAACACACTAAGCAAACAACTAGAACAGGAACAGAACCACAGAAATGGAGATCACATAGAAGGCTATCAGCAGGGAGGAGGAGCAGAGAGGATGGGGAGAAAAGGTACAAAATAGACAGTAGGAGGTTAAGAATAGTATGGGAAATGGAGAAGCCAAAGAACTTATATGTATGACCCGTGGACATGAACTAATATAGGAAGGACGGGGGTGCCAGGCGGAGGCGGAAAAGTAGAGAAAAGAAATGGGACAACTGTAATAACATAATCAATAAAATATACTTAAATTTTTTTTTCAAAAACTATCCTTAGAAGACTACTTTAATATTTCTATCTGGAAAGAGTCACACAAACAATATAGGTTTTATGGTCTAAATGGATTTAGTATGTATGCAATGGTTATATATCTGAAGCATGATAACTGTGAGCTAATTTCAAAAGCCCTTCCAATGCCTCTTTAAAAGAAAAGGATAAAAATGAATTATCTCAGTGACTGGTAGCGCTAAGTGAGGCCAGAGGCCAAACTGCTTTACTATACTTAATACCCTCCTTCCCTGGCCCCCAAACATTAACAAACATATCCATGTCTAGTAGGTAAAAATAAGGCAAAAGCCATAAAGTCATCAGGATATAAGTCAGGAATTTTCTATTAAGAGATATCCCTAGAAAGTGTGCACATTAACAAAACAAATCAATAAGTTAATGGTGTTTTCAAATTATTTCAGTCCTATGAATCTTTCTGCAAATAAAATATTATGAATAATTTCAACCTGACAAGAGAGGATACTGGGGATGCATCAGTTGAAGTAGTATGCACAATCCTACTAAGCAAGCCTGCATGGAGCTCACTCCCAATCTCTACCTTAGAGTCTGGGAAGCATAATTTAAAAACCATAGGGCAAGTGCACACTAGTTTGGTTTGTTATCTCTGGCTAAAGTAATACCTCTTGTTCTGGGTCATCATCCAGAAGGTTAAATTTCTTTTTTACCACCCGTCCAGAAGCAGTAACAGTGGGTATGTTTTCATTCTATCATATGGAAAGAAATAAAAAGATGTGACAAGTCCCATAATATGTAGTCAATTGCAAAATTATGTTACTAGATTTGGCAAAATTAACTAACCCTTCCCCAACATCCACAATTCTTTTCTCAATTGATAAAATTCTGAATCAGATTTCTGATCTTCCAGTTAGTAAAAACAGAGTAAAGTTTTTAATGGATAAAATACTAAGACAGGCAAAAAATAAATACAAAATTTACAGATTTGCTACTTTATTTGCCCTTCTGATTCTGTGTTAGTATAGTACAGCAAATAGAGTGGATATGCTTTGGAAATTTCCTTTTGCATGATTTTCTTCATATTCTTAATTTATGTGCTAAAGGAAAAAGTCTATCTGGAGTTAAAAAATGGTATGTGATTTTTAAAGATTTATATCTTCCCCCAGTTACTCTAAGTTTGTGCAATTAATTAAACCCAATGGTTGATAATTCATCAATAAAAACTTAAAGAGAAATCCAGAAAGGGAATAGAAATAAGCAAAATATAAACTCAATATATTCAACTCTTCTTCAAATCTCGTATTGGGGGAATTTGGGGTTAAGACCAGCTACCCATGTAGACAAAAGGAACAGACTTTTATAGGATTACGCTGTTCTTTTCAACCACACTAAAAGACAAACACACTTGCACTTATCATATTCTTATATAAAACGACAGTGATATATAAAGGATTTTAAAGTATTCCTTACTTTGTTCTCCCTGTTGGCCAAAATGACAAAATCTTCAGAGATCTGATGCTGGGCACTACTATTTTCTATTTCTTTTAGCTTTAAAACTCTGAAAAGGAAAAAAAGGATACTAAGAACTTAAGACTTCAATGCACCATCAAAATGCCAAAGTTGAACTATTAAAATGAAACTCAACAAATGAAAATTATAGTAACAACACTGAGTTCTCTTTTTTCATTGGTGTGAAATATTAATGTCTAATCACTTGGGTGTCTATAAACTCTTTCAAATTCAGAGATTTTGTTAAACAGGAAAATGTAGAATCTGTGACCACTAAGTGCTACCGAGGTAGGTAATGAATTAGCGTGCTTGGCCTTAAGAGATCTTCCAAACCAATGAAATGAAAGTAACTTTTAAATAACCTCATCTCTGCCATCCTGCAACAGGTCTTTAACATTTCAGCTTTCACAGTGGCATTGCAGTACAGGCATACCTCATTTTATTGCTCTTCGCTTTCTTGTGCTTCACAGATGTTGCACTTCTTACAAACTGAAAGCAAGACCTTCCACTAGCAAAAACATTAAGGCTCACTTTATTGCAATACTTGTGCTATTGCTGTGGTCTGGAACCAAACACGCAATATCTTTGAGGTATGCCTATAATATTTGCATTTTTATTTCTAAAGACAGAACAAGCTATCAATGGACACCACTTGGAGTTAACTATAAAACAGACTGGATTAGCAACTAAGCCTAACCTAAGAGTTTTCATGAATAGAGTAATATTTAAAAACTGCAACTAACTTAATACTTTTCTTTTTTCTTAGGGTTGATTTTGCAGATTTGAGTTTTCTGAGTGCAAATGGTCTCCCTGGATCAAGAAAAAATAATTTGTTCACCGCCCACACAAATCTGTTCACACCACTAACGAGCTTCAAAAGCACAATGTTCTCAAAGTTTAAAGTCTCAAATGCCAGCAAAGAGAACAGCAGGGAGTAGCAGCTACTGTGACCAGGAAGAGCCAGAGGCCTTAGAGCTTGCCAGAGACAAAGAAATCATAGTAATTTTAAATTACTCAATTCTTAGTGACAATGTTTTAAAATGCCCATCTCTTAAAACCTGGCAAAAGGGCACACACTCTTTGTGGACTTTATTTTCTTAAACTAAAACTAATATTAAAAGATGGTGGCAACAAACATTAAAAGTGAGGTTTACTAAAGCTGAACCACAGTTTTTAAGACTTTTAATAAAAGTTCATAATCTTATTTCATTAAGTCCAGTCATCCTCCTTATACTCAATCCAGAATAGACTAGTCAACAGAAAGCAGAAGGAATAAAGAAAGCAAACACTGCCCTTCTCATTCAACAGGCACTTACTGAGCACCTAGTCTTGCTAAGCACTGTGCTCAGTGCTGGGATTATAGGCATCAGAAAACCAGACTCTTTCCCTTATGGAGCTCATTTTTCCAAAGCTAGATATTTAAACAGATATTCACACACATAATTAATTGAAATTGCTGTAAGTGCTACAGAAGAAGACTACATAATGGGTGCAATGAAAATATGATGGGGGAGCTCATCTAACAAGGGTATCGGGAAAGGACTCTGAAAAAGGGACATTTAAGCTGGGGCATTAAATATGAATAGAAATTAGGTAGGAAAGTAGCTAAGGGAAAAAGACTCCTAACAGAGGGAACAGGTCCTCAGCTTTCTGAACAGAGAGCGTGACTGAAGCAGACTGCATTGGAGGGAGGGTCTTTCAGACCATGCCAAGAGCAACAAGAAGTCGTGAAAAGGTTAAAGCAGAATTCACGTGGTTAGTTTTTTGTGTTTGTTAACATTTGTAAAAATCACTCTTAGCTGCTGAGAAAAAAAATAGACTTAGAGAGTGCAAAAGTGGATTTTTGGAGTACACTATTGAATTACTATAGCCCAGGCTAGTGATGACAATAATCTGACCAAGATGGGACAGTGGCCAAGGGCAGAAAGGCGTAGATTTAAGAAATATTTAATAACAAAATAAACAGCATTGACAAGATATATGGTGTGTGCGTGTGTGTGACAGAGAGAGACAGAGAGAGAGGAAATATGCACATGACTGTTTAAGTATATGAACATTGATGAAAGACAAGAAGCTAAGAAAGTGCCAAGAATGATGCCAAATTCCTAACATTATCTTAGGGGAAAGGTTTGGGCTGGGATAAAAATTTGAAATTGTGTGATCTTTGAAGCCAAGAGAATATAGAATCCTGGAGAAAAAAAAGTGACAAGGGGAGAGGGTCCAAGTCCTGAGGACATCTGACATTAAAGTCTGAGTAGGAGAACATGAAAGTACACTAAGAAAGATCACAAAGAGAGGAAAACTGTGGTGTCAGAAAAGTCAAGTGAAGAGTGTTTCCGAGGAGGAGAGGCTAACTCTTGGAAGATGGAGGTAAACAAAGCAAAACAAGGTTTATGACAAACAATCTGCTATTTCTCCTGTGGTAAGGCTGTCATTTAGAACAAAGACAAATCATGCCCTGGTTGGTGTGACTCAGTGGACTGAGTGCTAGCCTGCAAACCGAAGTGTCGCTGGTTCGATTCCCAATCAGGGCACATGCTTGGGTTGCAGGCCAGGTCCCTAGTAGGGGACGTGTAAGAGGCAACCACACGTTGATGTTTCTCTCCCTGCCTTTTTTCCTCCTTTCCCCTTTCTAAAAATAAATTTTAAAAATGTTTTTAAAAGCCCTGGCTGGTGTAGCTCAGTGGATTGAATGCGGGCCTGCCAACCAAAGCATTGCTGGTTTGGTTCCCAGTCAGGGCTTATGCCTGGGTTGCAGGCCAGGTTCCCAGAGGGGAGTGCAACCACACATTGATGTTTCTCTCCCTCTCTTGCTCCTTCTCTTCTCCTCTCTCTAGAAATAAATAAGTAAAATCAATAAAAAGTATTTTTAAAAAAGAAGAACAAGGACAAATCATTTTTGTTCTCATTAATCCTGGAAAACTAAGACCTGGTAAGGAGGAGCCAATCTGTCATCTTCTTTCACTTATATATCATCCATCAAAGAACTTATTCAAATGTAATATTTATAAGCAGTAATAATGAGGCTAAAATAATTAAAGTTTGTTTTTCTAGATGTTAATCTCTGAGAAAGCATCCTATAAGCAGCTAATTACTTCCATACTTGGCTCAAAAGTTAACTGGAAAAAAAATTAAGATGCCAATAAATGCTACCAAAGACTGCTTTTAATTTTAAAATAACTAATGAAAATACTCACTTGACCTGATTTGGGCCAACATGTATTATTCTACCAGAAGCATCAGGATGGAAATAGATCCAATCAGATTCTAGGGAACAACAATCCATTTCTTGGATCCCATTTTTTGCCTGAAATTGGGAAAAAATATTGAAAACACAGATTAAAAGAAAATAATTTTTTTAAATTCTATCAGCAGTGACAGATCAGTCAGGGACAGGGTAGGGAAAATATTAACCAGTTGAACTTGGGTGTATATGAGGGCTGAATTAGGACACTCAAACTTGAGAAATCTAGAACTTTTAAATTCAGAAATTTCAAAGACTTACCCTGTACCGTACATTATACCTCACAAATGATAATTTAGTTACCACACTTCAAACACACCTAACTTGTATCAGGCCCTGCCTTAGATGCTTTACAATCATCATGTCATTTGATCTTAACAACACTCAAAGTATATATTGTTATCTACATTTTATGGATGAGAAAACACAGAGTATAAATCATTTGTTCCATGTTTTGTACCTATTAAACAGCAGATATGACTCCAAAGTCCATGGACTTCCCATTTTAACTCTGCTACTATTACAATGCTCATGCAACCCTTACCCCTTCCTTACCACCCTATCCCAAGCAAACTGCCACTCAGAGGAGTGGGTAATGTGAAAATAAACATGTAATTAAACCCAAAATCTCAGACACAGGTCATATGATCTCCTTGGATAAGTCAGATATTAAACTCTAATGCTGAAGAAATGGTCCAATATTGCTTAGCCTTTAAGACAAGTACAGAGATTTATTTCACAGTAATATATTTAGACATTGAAATAAAGGTACAGATACCTGCATGACATGCAATCACAAATGTACATGAATGTTTTACCTTATACACAGGAGCACTGGGAATATATAAACTTCACTGCTTTATCCAAGTCATCTAAATTATTTAATTTCTCCAATTTAATATGAAATGATACCATCTTTTCTATCTGATACTCACAACAGGTTTTGAAATATGAATGTATTCATTTCATTGGCATATACTGACAGCACACTATGTTTTAGGTATTACACTAGGCATTTGTACCTGACATGGCTGTAACATTATCCTTGCCATGAAGAAGTTCATTATTGAGAGGGGAGGCAGAAAAGAACAAACAGTAATGAGGCAGTGTGGGAAACAGAGTGACCAAGCCACACATAGGATACTGTCAAGCGTCCATCCAGGTGAGCAGAATTTCAGGAAGAAAAGAGGCTTAAATAGAGCCTTAAATGATGAGCAGAAAATGGCTAGAAAGAAGAGACAGCAAAATCGAAAGCACATGAATGTTATTCCACAGAGCACGTGTGTGCATCAATACGAGCAGCAGCCAGAATAAAACAGAAATGTACAGAGTGCAGCCACGAGACTGCAGAAGCAGGCTGGGCTCCAGCACAAGTGCTTCCTATGCCATGCTTTTTTAAAAATTGAATTTAACACACTTTATGTACCAAATTAGAGAATGAGTTTTAATTTTTCAGGATTTAATAAATATCCTAATAGGAATAATGGTATTATTACATTTTACAAGAAAATCAACAAAATTAAACATCTTGGCTGCCACCACTGAAATGAATGTGCCCATGATGGCACTGGTTTCAGATGCCCTTCCACTGTAAAACATGTACATAGTACACCTGTCTTTCCTTAGGAGACCATTCTCTTTACTACAGTGTCTTCTGTAACACAAAGGAAACATCACCTCTCTGTGTTAAACACTGAGCAGCATTATGACCAACTTACTGTAGTTTTTATTATTTGTTCGAATGGTAGATTTTAAAGTTCAGTTAAATAGAAGGCTATGAAACACTTTCTGGATTCTTCAGTTTGGATGCATGTGTTTTGTGGTTATCTATCTACTCTCCTCACTGACAGGTGGAGAGGTAATGGGTATATCCATTGTTATGGCACTGCAATAAAGCTGTCTGGCACACGGATTTTAACTTCCCCTGGATTTGGCAATTTTTTATGAATATGCTGAAACACAGATTTGACTAAATGTTACGATCATAATCAGTTATTTCAGAAGGAGAGCTTGACAGGCATGCTTGATATGTACTTTGAAGGCCATTTTATACACACACACACACACATACACACGGACACGAGAGAATATGTATTATCAGTTCTTATATAAGAATATGTACTAAATATCCAGACTATGAAGTGTGTAAAGTTTGACTGGAAGGAAGGATTAAGTAAAAAATGAGACGAGGTCCTGTTGGCTGAAGGGAGGTCCTCTGGCTGGGAGGTGAGCAATCAAACCAGACTCGTCATGGAAGGAAAGTGCCCTTTGACAGTCCATTGTAGAAGGTATCACTGGCCTGGGCCAACCTGGAGCTGCCATATGTGAGATGTAAATGAAAAATCAGAAGGAACAATGCTTTTACAAAAAGAAAACTAGAAGACACTATACAGAGTGCCCCCTGGTGGCCATGACATCAAGGGAACTAGAGAAATGAACCCAAGACTGTGCTGATCTTCAGCATGGTAAAAGGTGACTCATGACTTTAAAAGCTGTTGGGTCCAACAGGGATTGAGGAAGATCCTGGAGGAGGTGGGTGTGAAATAAGCTGAGTCTGCCTCAGAAAAGTAAGTTCATTTGATACATCAAGAGGTTCCAGAAATAAATGAAACTAAATCAGCAATACGAAACAAGATGGAACTCTCTCCTCTGTGCGCTCACCCTTTTGCACTGACCTGAATCACTGAACTTAACGGACAGCAGCTATTCATAATTTGGGTACATATTTGCTTTCTTTTGAGTGTAAGCAGCCTGAAGGAAGGAAATGTACCCCAGTTATATCTGGCACACAGTGGACCCTAGATAATGTTTATTAAATGATAAATCAATGCCTAAATAACTTTTTAAATGAAGAAAAATTGATTTAATGGGTAGAAATTTATATTGTCTTACCATGTACTATTTCTTTCTATTTTGCCATAAATAATTTAAGAATAGCCTTGAAAGTTCAAAGTGTTTCATGGCTTACATTCTGAACATCAGAGTTCTATTTGGTTCTGCTCTGGAAAGCAAATAGCAACAAACCATGAAAAAGCAGAACCAACAACACATTCCACCAGCAATTTCAGATGCAGCATGAACACATTTCATCAATGATTCCCATCATGAAGCTTCAGAGATGTTTTGCAGGGAATTGCTTGCTGGGAGGTTGGTAAGAAAAAACCCTTAAGTAAACTTTGGTGCCCTAAAAATATTCAAATGTTAATGTTTAAATTCTAGATAACACAGGCCTTTGCTACATTCTTTGCATTCTTCTCTATTATACATTAATCACAAATTAATACAGACAAAAAAGTAACTCTTAGGAACATGAACCTATTAAGAGGTAGCAAAGAGAATTTGATACTAATTTGCTACTACAAGGTCTGATCACTTATGATTTACCAAGGAATTGTCTTTAAGGGCACAAATATGGAAAACTCCTTTCTGTTTCTTCTTATTAGGTGTAATGATGTAGTGCCAAGGATGGCCTCCAATCTGAAAGGCATTCTCCAGGGAAGAGACCTCGAAGAGCAGCGGTGGCGTGTCTGTAGAGATGGCAAAAGGAATTTATTAGCTTTCTCTGCTCTGGTAGCCTTGGAACATTGATTAAATGAGTTCAACCTTTCTTTGCATGCATCATCTATGAGTTTCCATTAATGAAAAATTACTGCATTTAAGGAAATAAAAATATAATCAGGAAAGACACTTATTGCTAAGAAAAGAGAAAGCTGATAGGAACCAAGTGTTAAGCTATGAGCCAAATTTCTAGACATCTCTTATCAGATATGTGTGACCTGTAGCTGAGTGGAGATAAACAGTGGACTGAAGGTGCTTATGGTGACAAAAATGACAAAGTACACTCAACAAAAGCAGCTGCCATTTACTATGCATCTGCTCTGTACATACAAGACTGGGTTAGATACTATTTCCAACTCTCATAACAATCCTATAAGGTATTAGGTCTAGCAATTCCTTCAAACGTGAGGAAGACATCTTCCATAATCTACACAGGTTATACTTGTCAAACTTTGCAAGAGTAGTCTTGCTTCGGATTTCCAGTGCAGAAGCGATATTAGTCACAATAAATGTAACCAATTAGGTTAAGTCCTGTCACAATGGAAGCTTTATTAAAGGATAACCAGTACTACTATATCATCATTAGCCAAGTTAGCTTTAAGGTAGTTTAGATATATCTAGTCAGTCACTGTCTTTTGGAGATTGACATCATGTGAGAAATACAGGCAGACTTTGTTTTACTGTGTGTTGCTTTATTGCACTTCACAAGGGTTGCATTTTTTTAAATAATTTTATTTATTTATTTTCAGAGAGGGATGGGAGGGAAGGAGAGGGAGGGAGAGGGGGAGAGAGATAGAGAGAGAGAGACAAACATTAATGTGCGGTTGCTGGGGGTCATGGCCTGCAACCCAGGCATGTACTCTGACTGGGAATCAAACCAGAGACACTTTGGTTCACAGCCCGCGCTCAATCCACTGAGCTACGCCAGCCAGGGCCCACAAGGGTTGCATTTTTTAATGCAAGGCAAGACCCTCCACCAGCAAAAAGATTCTGACTCACTTTATTGCAATGCTTGCTTTGATGTGGTGGTCACAGCATCTTTGAGGTATGCTTTATTGTGATGGTCTAGAACCAAATCCACAATATCTCCAAAGTATGTCCATAATTTGTAGGTGCTACTTCATCGTCTTCTTCGACAATTAATTTTAGGTAGTGTAATAGACTTACTCTTAAAGAAATACATAAGCAGAAGGTACAGCAGCTTTAGAAGATCAGAATTCCTTTTGGGCAGCCCTTGTGAAGCACCACATGTCTGTCTGGGCAAATGGCTGATCTATGATTCCTTTATTTACTCCTTTACTTGAGAGTTTAATCTTTGGTTTATGAGGCCATCACTGTCAGTAAAGTGGCTTATCTAGGGGGAGACCATTTATTTTGAGTCATATTATCATAGAAATGTGTGCTTTATTAGGCCTCTTCATAAGCACAGTTTACTTAGTGTTACACATAGGGGAAAAAAAATAATGAAGAGTGAGTTCACAAACTGACAATCTTGAGAAGGAAAAGATAGGCATAAACATATTAAATGTATTTAAAGTTTTTTAAAACTTCTAAGAAGAGGGTAATATTCTTAATATATACAGAGGTCTTTTAAGTAATAAGAAAAATATGAGCACCCCAAAAGAAAAAGGAACAAATGACATAAGTAAATTTGGAAGAAATACAAACATCATATGCAATAATATGGTGGCTACCAAATGGCAGTGGATGAGGAAAAGAGGAGTTATAAAAAGAAAAAATATAATTAGAGTTTGAATTTGGGATTAAAATTTTAAGTAGATATGAGAATATAAAAGAGGTTTCAAATTTAAAAAATCAATGCAAAAAGATGTGTTTAAAAAGAAATATTTCCCCCAGCAGTTGCTAAAAATGGCCCAAAAGAAGCAGCAAGACTGCTCACCACAACTCTGATAGGCCCCTGCTAACCCCAGAGTCCAGATCTTAACCTCTAAGGCTATTCCCAATTTTTTACAAAGGTCCTAGAAGTTCTCAGAGAGTAGTGATTCCATGTCTTGGGGTGAGGAATTTTAGGATAGGTGCAAAGCTTCTAGTTGTCACTATAAAGGATATTTACAAGAATGTCTGGGGGGTGTGAAGAGAATAAGAGAGCCAGAAAAATGAGTCCTTCTGGCTAGACTGTAAAAAGATACTCATTAAAACTAAAATAGTAATTATAAGGTTTTGAGTCTGTGAAAGGCCAAACAATGATACTTCAAAGGGGGGTTTTAACATCAAGTGTTCCAAATGATTGTTATATTGTTTATATATATAAAAAAAGAATAGTTACAGGAACAGAACCACAGAAATTGAGACTGCATGGAGGGGTAGCAACAGGGGAGTGTGAGAAGGAGAGAGGGGGGAAAGGTACGGAGAATAAGTAGCATAGAATGTAGGTAGAAAATAGACAGGGGGAGGGCAAGAATAGTATGGGAAATGTAGAAGCTAAAGAACTTATGACACATGGACATGAACTAAAGGGGGGGATGTGGGTGGGAGAGGGTGTGCAGGGTGGAGGGGAATGAAGGGGGGTAATGGGACAACTGTAATAGCTGTAACTTTTCTGTAATTTTATAACATAGGGGATAGTTACATATTTCATTTTGTTCACATGTGGATATATCTGGGATAAATTCTTAGAAATGGAATTGCTCAAGGAGAACATGCAATATATGAAATAAATGAAAGTGCCTCTTTTATACTTCCACCAATCCCGTTACCTAACTTTTTGATATTTTAGAATTTGAAATGATGTATCTTATGATAATTTTAACTTACATCTCTCATATCAGTGACATTGGGCTTTATCCTTCCCAAATGAAAAGCCATTTACACTTCTTTTCCTATTGAACAATATCCTTTGCTCATTTTTTGTTGTTACCACTTCTTATTCATCTGTAGAACTCTTTATATACTGAGAAAATTAGCCCTTTATAGTATATTTTGCAAATATGTCCTGTTTGTTGTTTGATTTTTTAGTTGGTTTACATTGTGTTGTGTTTTGCTATATAGAACTTTATTTTCATGTAACCAAATTACCAATCCATTATTTTAACATTTAAGAGTACGTTAGTCTGCAGATATATGTGACAATATAAAATGAATCTTGAAAATAATATGCTGAGCGAAAGAAGCCAGACAAAAAACATCATATAATTCCATTTATATGAGACTTTAGAAAATATAAATTTAATTGATAATGAAAGAAAGCAGTTGCCTAAGGCTGGGGTTGGGTAGGAAATTGACTGGAAAGAGCACAGGGGAACATTTTGGAGTGATAAAAATATTCTAAAGCTTAATTGTAGTGGTGGTCTCATGATTATATACATTCGGCAGAACTCAAACCGTATAGTTAAAATGAGTGCATTTAAGTGCTTGTACATTATACCACAACAAAGTTGACTTTTTAAAAAGCAAGTTATGAAAGAGTATTTACAGTAATTGTTTAGTTTTAGACATATAGAAATACACACAATATAAGATTAGTAAAAAAACTAATAAACACTCTAAAAGGTAATAATAGTTAACACCAAACAGGAGGACTATGAGTGTTTAAATTTTTTCTATTTCATTCATTTTTATTTTCTATTTTTTCTATAGTAAAAATGAATGTTTTACATTAAGAAAAAGTTATTTAAAATTAAAATAAACATTATATTGTACAGACTTTTATGATCTTTAAAACAAATTTGAAGAAATGAATAGGATTTGAGTCTCTACAGATTATTTAAAAATTCAAACTTTCCAATAAAACATGCTACTTTTCTTAGCCAAATGTCAGAAAAGTACCAATTTATAATGTTTTACAATGACAACTGATTTTATATATCATGTTTTCAAACATTATTATTTTGAAGTTGAGGAAAGCAATACCCAGAGAGATTTGGTGATTTGCCCACTATCACACCACCGGGTCAGCAGCCAGGTTTCACTGTTACTAGTAGCAGACTACGATTCTGGTTCCAAATCCGGCCTTCTTTCTACAAATAGGGTACCTACCTAACCCATAGCACAATCCTGCAGGCTTTATGTGCTTTATCACCCTATTTATTCTTTGTTTTACTAACTTATCTGCATTTCAACAACAACAATGCTACCATTTTGGGAAATTCTTTTCAAAATAACATTTTAGTTACCATGAGAGATGGTAGTTTTAAAATCTTAAGATTCCTGCTGGAGTGTTTGTACTGAATATAGAAACTATTGTTGGGCTGAGTTTTCACAAAATTGCCTAATTCAGCTGGTCCAATTCATTTAAAAACTTGGGTAACTTAATTGGTTATATTGAATGCTCAGTGGATTTTACAGTTTGTCATTTATTACTAAAAAGAACATCTTTCAAACAATTAAATCTATTTCTGTTTCTTGATCTGTTGATAATATGTTAAATAATGACACAAAAATTCCTGTCTTAAGAAATTCTGACTATATTAGAAAACCCTTTGGAGTTTCACCCAAAAATATGATGTTTATTAGTTGGAAATAAATCATCCTCACTATAGTAAGGAATGACTCTTAATGAACTAAGAATATAGATAAACAAATATCAGAATAATAAAATGTATTTTATTTTTAAATTTACTCATGTGACTTTTTAAAGAGATTTTATTTATTTATTTTTAGAGAGAGGGAGAGAAACATCCATGTGTAGTTGCCTGTTGCATGCCCCCTACTGGGGACTTGGTCTGCAACCTAGGCATGTGCCCTGAACTGGGAAACGAATTGGTGACACTTTGGTTTATAGGCCAGCACTCAATCTATTGAGCTACACCAGCCAGGGCTACTCATGTGATTTTAATATCTTTTTGCAAACATTAAACCATCCTTGTGTTTCTAAGATGAATTCTGGTCAGTCATGGTTTATTTCTTTTAACAGACATTGCTGAATTTGAGTAATATTTAATTTCTTCTTTATTAAACTGAACTCAATAAGCTAAATGTGGAACATTTTCATTATATTTATAGAATTATATACAATTTTCTTTTTTTGTGTTTTATCAACTATTAGGTATAGTAGAAGATTCTCTCTGTGTCTAAGATCTATGTTCAGATAGAATGGTAATTATATTTTCCTTGGAAAATACCTTTCTTAGAAGTGGGTTAATTTTATAGAATTATAAAATACTAAGTGATAAGGAGCAAAAGATAGTATCGTTTGCTGCAACTCATCAATGAATGAATGATAGATTTTCATTGACATCTATTGAATAGCAAGTAGTATACTGTACAAAAATAAAATAGAGTCTGTAATGAAATTATAAGGAAAACATTTGGATCATTACAATTAATAATTTACATGACCACTTATTTTTTAAGGTAAAAAAATACTATATAGTAGCCATACCTGTGATTTTAATATTACAAGGAATGCCAAAAGGAGCCTCTCCTACAGTTCCAGTAGTCCCACCCCATCTGCATGCACACCCTAAGTCAAGTTTCTGTTGCATGAACTACAAACAAAACAAAACAAAACAAAAATGGTGTCTTTAGCACCTACTTATTTGTTGTCTGGAGAGAGAAAAAATCAAATTCACATGTATACAACAGAAATGTTTCTTTATTCAAGGGCCTTTTAGCTTATCTTCCCACCCGTCTATTGAAGGTTAGTTTGTCTTCCTGCATTCACATAGTTTTGCAGAGTAGAAATTTATACAAGTGTCTTACTCAGAAAGCTCTGCATTAAAAACATCATAACTCAGCCCAAACCTCAAGTTAATCATGTGGTGAACTCAAGTTTTCTCTACCTGTTCAGTGATGGCTTGGAAGCTATAGAGTCTGACCAGTCCTGAGCTGTACATCAAAATCAGTATTCCATGAGATAACGTAGCATCTGTAACGTTCCCGAAAATCTGAGGGGAAAGGTAGATATCACCTGAGAAAAGACCAGAAGGCCAATCCTCTGAGTGTTCACAGTGGTTTGCACATTTGCTTAATATTCAGGCTATCACTATGACATTGCCGCCTAGGATCATACGGTAATTATAATTTAGAAACTTGAAACTAAGGTGTTATTAGGAATGAGTGGTAAGCCACTGGAGTCTCAGGCTAAAGCACTAATTAGAGATGCAGCAGCATTCATTTGCTTCATCCATTTGCTTCACAGTTGTGTCAATATCTTTTAACAACAAATTGTATTCCTCACAGATATAGATTGACACTGGGTCCATCTAATTCTAAACGAATATTTACTCTACCATGCATATCCTGTCAGGGACCTATTCTTATGTTAAAATATTATTTATAAAGAGACTTTTTTTAAAGCTAATTAGAGGGAGAGAGATTGGATCTAAGAAAGTAATTCTAATAAGAAACAGCCCAGATTTTTATCATTACCTTGTTCTTTAAATCTTTAATAGTGTTTAATTTTTTAGTCATATAAAAATCAAACAAATTAAAGACCAAACACTTACTAAGCCATTAACCTAGCTAACCTTGAGTAAGGCTTCAGTTTATTGTTCTCTTTCTGTTTCTGTGCACTGGACCCTGCCTTGATTCTCCACAGAGCTCTGATCCTATGCCTATTTGAATATTTAACAAAAGCTAACATAGACAAATATTCACAGCAATGAAAGAACAACTAGAAATTATGTGACAATCGGTGTCTATTTCTACTCAAGACAAATTACATAGTAAAGATTTACTACCCCAATAAATAGTTTAAAGTGCATTCTAAACTGGGGGCCTGGCAGCCTTATTATACATGGTAAGTGAAAGATACACTTCAATTCCAAGTAACCATAATCAAAGTAGTCCAAGTAACCATTTAATCTTGAACATGTAAGAATAAACAAATAATTTATGACTTTGCTAAATGTTCATTCCTGTTGTAGACTGTAATAAGTAAACACAATTACTTAATCCACAAGCACAAAGAGAAATATTACATTCATGAGTTTTAGTCATCTCTCAGAAGGTAAATTATAGATTGCTTTGATCTTGATTAGCTCATGACTTTTTATTCACTGATCCTCCTTCCCCACTTTGAAGTAAGGACTTGTATAATACAAACATAGTTTCAAATAATGAGTGCTATAATAAAGTAGCCATTCTATTTTTAAGACTTGGTTTGTACTTTGGAGTCAAATCTAGATTAAAATTCCAGCTCCTCCATTTACTACCTGTTTAACTTCCTAGTTGAATGCATTAGGTTATAATGTTGTAAAATGCTCAAACTGCCTGGTATAAAACAAACAATTAATAAAGAACTAATATTATTCTTTAGTCTTTATGCAGTTTAGTATATTATGCTAATTAATTTTAGTGGACCCATAAGGGTCCACTTTATAATATTTTAGGTGCTTAATTAAAGACTAGTAAAATAAAAAAATAACCATTCACCCAGAATAAGTAACCATTTTTTAAAAGAAAGTAGACTATTGATTCTTTTACTCAAAAGAAATTTGTCCTTTCTTTTCTCCCATATAACTGCTCCACAAATTAAGAAGAATGGCAATAATAATAAAATCCAAAACTGAATGAGTTAGAAACTTGTATATTTAATTATAAGGCTTGCTTATATATCATAAGTTTTACATCTATATCTTGCCATTAAAATGAGGCATTTTGTTGCAGCTTTTGCCTTTATTTAATGGTCATTTTAACAAACTTTGGAAGAGCCCTCTGGAAAAATACCTTACTCATTTCATAATTTTATAAAATAGTGGTTTGTTAATGACCACAGGTATTTAACACTATCCACATGAGGGGCATAAAAACATGCAGAACGGTGAAGAGATGATTAACCTCTCTTCCCATGTCAAATATTCTCATATATTTTGAAATAAATAAACTAGATCAGCAAGCTTTTTATAGTAAGGAACTTTTTTTTTAAGAGAGAGGGTAAGGGAGGGAGAAAGACAGGGAGAGAAACATTGATGTGAGAGAGAAACATCAAGGGTTTGCATCTCCTATGCACCCCTACCAGAGACTGAACCTGCAACCTAGGCACGTGACCTGGCCAGGAATTGACCCAGTGACCTTTAGGTTTGCAAGACGAGGCCCAACCAACAGCCACACTTATCATGGCCAGTTGGGAACATTTATAATCAAACACCTAAGAAATAATTAAATGATTATATTACATCTTATTGTCAAAAATTAATGTTGCAGTTAACTCAGAAATGAATTCTTTGGGGGTGTGTGAGATGTTCCGATCACTGTTTCTCTCTCACATCAACGTTTCTCTCCCTCTGTCTCCCTCCCTTCCCCTTTCTCTAAAACTAAATAAGTAACATCTTTTGAAAAAAAATAAGAAATGAATTCTTACCTTTTTGCTGATCTCCAGAATCCCTATGAGTGAAAAAGGTAGAACATGGAACACTGCAAGGTACAGCAAAACAGACTGTTGAGGGCCTGCCTAAAAGAAAAGACTAAAATTACTGGCAGTTCTCTAAAGTATTTCAGAGACAGTCTGCTTTCATGTGTCAAAAACATCCACCTGTCCTAGCATGCAGTTTATAGATGTTTTTCATGATGTGAAAACAGCCATCTATCTACACTGTGAAGTTATTTAAAAAGGAAGGCATACATGTGCAAAATACGTCCACAAGACCTTTAGCCCTTCAGTCACACACATGCACATACACATAAGAACTTACCAAAGTAAACATAACACTAAACATTTCTTAGCAACAAAATATACATTATGTACTGTACAACAGAAATAGTTTATATGCTGTATGACAAAATATATGTTGTATATTACATACTGTATATTACTGTATTATGATATAAATTAACACATATTTGTAGTGACATAACAAATTATATTATTTTAAAAGAATAAGTTAATATACCTATTTATAGAATAATATTCTATTTTAATAGAATGTTAATAATTTATACTGTAAATTGGAATTCTAATTATAAAGCATCTAATCAAAATACACACGTAGTTATCATAATCCCATCATTTGAAAGCAGTGTTACACTGGTGTACCTATAGGAAATGAGAAAAAAACACCGCCAATAAAAGCTTGAGTGATTTCTCTGCTTGAAGAGGATTACTTCCTTACTTTGAAAAACAGTATCCAGTCAATTTCTTTCTACTATGAAATGTAAAATAATCTGTAATACCCCAGAGTGGCTTAGCAGGAATTTCTTTTTTATTCCCTGCCTGAGGACATTTTTTTTTTTCATTTCTTTTAGAGAGAAAGGGAGGGGTGGGGGAGGAAAGAAAGGAGAGAAAGAGAGAGAGAAAAATATCAATTGGTTGTCTCTCGTAGGCTCCATGACTGGGGATCGAACCTCCAACCTGGACATGTGCCCTAACCAGGAATCAAACCCACAACCTTCAGGTTTAAAGCTCCAACCAACACAGCCACACCAGCCAGGGCTTAATGGGAATTACTTAAATTTGTGGTAAACTTTTATAGCATGCTTCAGAAAACAAATATCATTAGTTCTTTCATGACCAATCTGCAGACAAATTCCTATGGGGAAAAAAAGTTCATTTTTAATGTTTTTTAAGATGCCTACCTGTCGGGCCAATGCTGACTTCACTGCAATGACTTCCTGAGGAGTGTCCCAGCCCAAGTATCTTTTAAAAGAATGAAGCAAAGTTTATTCATTTGGAAAGGGGCAAGGAAGGTTTCCTGGTACTTAAAATCAAAATATAATAGATATTTTGTAAGTTTTTTAGTTATTTAAATTATAAAAGCAAAGTAATTTATTTTAAAAACAAGTAAATAGCTAAAACAATTCCCTCCTTCCTAGTTTTGATGAATAAAAATTGTTTGATCTAACAGTATTCAAAACTTATGAAACAAAATAACTATTTCTGCTTTAAAATGGAAGTTATAAAAAGCATAAAAAATGTTGCTTTCATATCCTGAAAGCACATACTTTTTCCAAAAAATTCATACCTAATTTATAAAACTAGTAATTAAATAACAGTTCTTAGATTGCACTAGTCAGGTAATTTAAATAAAAGACTAGCCCTCAGGAAAACCTACCATAAACTACATCTTACATATAGAATGTTATTTATAGATGGAAAACACAAGAATTTTTAAAGTTTATCTGCTAGTTACCATACATTTGTTACTTATGAGGATACATACAAAGAAAATTATAAAAGGTCTGTATGCTCAGATCTTCAAATGTAGTCATGAAGAAAGAAAAAGAATAGGTTTATAAATCAAGATCCAGGTATATAAGGGAAAACTTAAAAAAAAGCAGCTTTGCATTTCCTGCACAAGTCTCAAATTTTTATAATAAAACCTTGAATAATAAAGTCACAAATAATACCTGAATTTGCAATACGAAGCAAGATATATTTTCTCAAGGACTTTTCCTGTAGTTGCTGATATACGAAGTAACCAGTTATGAGCAGTCAGTGCTATGAGTGCGGATTTGTAATCCGATGCATTGGGCAGCATTTCCCCCTAAAAAATGAGATGTGAAAATAAAACTTCTTGGCCACGAACAATCTGCAATACTTAATGTCCAAAGAAAATAGCTAAACACTTAAAGAAATAGTCAAATAAGTAAACCAAAAAAGAAATAGCAAATGTTCAAATGCACGAAGAGAGAATTAAGACAAGGAAAGATAATATATGAGTATTTTCATCATTAACTTACTGAATCTATTCAGATAAAGCACTTAAACAGTACCTGAAATAAATTATTACTTATTAATTATTATTGATCATTAAGTATTCAACAAATGTTAACCAATCATCATAAAAGTAGTAGGAGTATTACCAATGATGCTGCTGTGATGATGATGATAATAGCAATAACAAGTTCTTAAACACATATTGAATAGCATAGGAATTAAGAGTCATCACTAGAATAGAAAGTCTTATTCAAAGACTTATTTTCCTTTTGAAAGAAGTCAAAATGGCAAAAGGGCAAATTATCCCACTATTCACCAGCTCTACTCTAACTCCAAATGAAAAGCTATAATCCAGAATCAGGGGAGCCAGAAAAGAACAAAAGATAGACCTGGTTTGGAAGGTAACCTATGTCGCCAACGAACTATACCCCAAAAAGGAAGAGGATGGCTGCTTGGGTGGATCTGCTACAGAGGAGCCACCACAAGGTAGAAGTCTGAGGCAGGAAGAGAAAGAAAGCAAAGGGTTCTACTTTGATTTGTGGAATAAAAAGGAAGTTCTAAGAGAAAAGTTAAAAACAGGAAAGTTAAGATTAATCTAGTATTTGCTTAGGCTGTAAACCAACAGGTTTTTCTTTTAATCAATTTTTTAATTTTATGGTATGTTATATAAGTATCATCTCATGGAGATTTTTAAAAGTTTTAAAAAATGTACTGTTTATACCTCGACTAGTAAAAACATATATATATATGTTTTTCATACATATATATATATATATATATATGAGCATATATAATAGGTTTGAGCTATTTTTCTAAACCAAAAGTTGTATCCCATACAATATCTCAGAAAAGAAGGGTGCTAAATATAGTTTCATATCAATATGTTAAAAACAACACAATATGCTTCTTAGTTTTCCTTAAAGGGGAAATCTTGCTTCACTTCAAATGAGAACAAAATGTTTAATGAGAAATGAGACTGGGAATTAGGTTACCTGAAACTCTGTTTTTACAGAACTGCCCTAAATTTTTGGTGCTTTGTATTAGTGTCTTTAAAAATTTTCTCAAATAAGAATTTTATCATTGTCCTCCCTGCACCAATGAAAATGAATGCAAAGGCTTTTGATATTGGGGCACAACCGGTATTTTTAGCTTTTGATAAGAAGTTAGGGAAGAAAACACCGATTTAAAGCTTTCTGATTTTTAAATGGATCCTTCTATGAACAAAGAATAAGTGCCCAGGGAAAAAGAAAGCAGTTGCTAAAGAGAACACCAATTTTATGTAAAAACAACAGTGTCTTTAAAAAATGATTTTAACAGTAAATTTAAAATATACCTTCTTATCCTTTAAACATTATTTTTGATTGCATATTGTGAGGTCTATTTTTCCTAAAGAAGAACCAACCAGATTCCAAGACCTGATTAATTTGTTGTATCTTCTAGGGCATTTTCTAATACACTGATCCCATGGAAGATTAATATTTAGAAATAAACCTCAAAAAGGGAAGTTCATAGGATCATAGGATTAAGAGTTCAGAAAAATGGTTTGACAATCATCATGTGGTTTAGTATTATTATAAGTATTATTACTATTAAAGGCTCTGAGAAGTAATTCTATAAATTTGTTTAACTTTTTACACTCAGAACAACCCAGGATGATTTGTTTACAACCCACTTCCTCTTAACCCCTTTAGCAACTACAAGACAATCACATCTAAAGGAAATTAGTGTTCTGAAAAATACACACTAGGGCAATGCTGGTCTAATAAAATGAGCTTATCCTATTTTCTTTTTTTATCTTTAGCTTATGATTTTCTTAACAGGATTCCTGGAGGAAACTCATTAGAATCCCCTTTCAAACAGTCATGTAACATCACTGTTGCCCATGATGTGCAGCATAACATGTAACAAAAATACTTTGCTCCAGTATAATAAGTAGAATGATTTCATATGCACTAAGAATAACTATTAACTAGTTTCTATTTCTTTTGGAGCTTTTAATCAGATCATACTTTTTCTAATTTTCAAGAGTAACAAATACTACCACATTTAAAAAATACATTTATAATATTATTATTATTTCATGAGGAAACATAATAATCAAAATATAAACTCTCATGATTCCTTTCAAGATTCAAAAATCACCATGACATTTAAATTTTATTCCCTGCCCTGGCTGGCATAGCTCAGTGGATTGAGTGCAGGCTGCGAACCAAAGTGTCGCAGGTTCGATTCCCAGTCAGGGTACATGCTTGGGTTGCAGGCCATGACCCCCAGCAACCACACATTGATGTTTCTCTCTCTCTCTTTCTCCCTCCCTTCCCTCTCTAAAAAAAAATAAAATAAAAATAAAATAAAATCTTTAAAAATATATATATATTTAAAAATAAATAAATAAATAAATTTTATTCCCTTATATAATACATTAATAATAACCAGTTCTAGGCTAAAAATGCTTTAGAAACAAAGGCCTAAAAACAAATCTTACCACTGGACATTCCCATAATAAAGCATCCTCTATTTTTTCTGATTTGGAACATTTTGGCATCTCATAAAGTTTTCTGGGTTCTGATGCAACACTGAGAAAAAAGAAAATAAATTACTAATGATCATCTTGTTAACTGAGACAGTGTTTGCTCAAGTTTGTGTGATTATTTTTTCTATTCAGAGATTCAGACTACCAAAATACTTCTTTTTCACCCTGTTTGCTTTCCTCTTCTTAGTTAACATTTTTTCTGACCATAAAATTTATAATGCATATTCACAGAAAAATTCTTTAAAATATAATAAAATCTAAATAGATTGATACTATAAAAATACCAAAACTAACCACTATTAACATTTTGGTTCATTTCCCTCTAGTTTTTCTTTATATACATATATCTACTTGCAGATTATTTTCTAAAACATAACCATGAACATTTACTATGAATATCTCAGCTGAAATCCATGGTGTTCATATTTATTACCCTAATATTCTTAAATGAAAATTAATCAGATAAAGAGCCCTATTATTTTAGGATGCAAATTAGTAAATAAAAAAGGGAAACACCCTTTAAGAATTTTTACTCCCCAAATGCCTTTCAGGAAGGTTGAACAAGTTTATACTTCTGCCAATATTGAACACTACATTTTTGACATGAAAATAGCCTCTTACCTTTAATTCGAACTTCTCTGGTTACTACTGAAATGTGCTCATAAGTGTTTTCATTTTTTTAACTGATGAACTTTCAAATTAAACTATTAGACACAATGTTGAGGGTAATAATTTTATTCACCTTTGATATTCTTTCACTGATTCAAAGGTTTAAATCAAACAGAATTTCATAAGAATGAAAGCGACTTCATATGTGATTTTAACCTATAGGAAAACATTCTGAATGGCACATTAAAGAACTCCAATACTATTTACCAACCAATACCTCTCTCACTACTTTAATTTTTTAAATTAAAACAGATACCTCTAAATTGGGGAAGCTATGAATTGAGCTTTAAATAATACCAAAGAATTACTGCTCATTTTGCAAGGTATGATGACACTATGATCATGCAAGAGAATATCCAGGTTGCCACTTCCAGCATGACAGCATGAGGAGCTCTGTGGGCATGCTCCCCAGGAAAACTGGTAGAAATGATTAAAGAACAACTACTTTAAAGTCTCTGAAAATGATTCTAGGGCATACAGCAAATGACAAAATATTTATTCCAGAAAATCTATAAAAACTCAGTAAGAATAGCGAGTCTGTGGTGATTGAACTAGGATGTGCTTCCTCCCCACTATTCTCAGTTCAGGAAGACAAAAACTCCACTCCACACTGATAACAGCCAAGAGCACAGGGATCCCTCTACCCCAGCTCCCAGAGGGCTGTCATCCTGAGGGGCAGCATTATTATCCAGCCCCTAGCTGCTTGTTGCTAGGGCTGAGTCCTAGATAAGTAAAGCCAAGAGGTGGGGCTCTTTTCTTCTGCCTAGCCCCTACTCATGGGATAGACATTCTGCCTTGGCCATGGCCTGCCCTAGAACATTAGAGCCTGGATTTGTCTTATTCCATCTCATAAAGTGTAGGAGATCGTTCTGTGTGGCGTGGGCCCAGTTCCCACTCAGAGATGCACAGACAGATGCCCACGGATAGGTTCTCCTGTGGGGAATCAGGACTGCAATGTACCTAGGCTGCTTTGAGTCTTGCTCTTGCTAAAAAAACTCCCTCACCCTGAATTAAGGACATTTACTGCAAAGTAACTTCCTAAAATCCATGCTAAACCTTCCAAGGATGAGTTTAACTGGTTCAACCACTTTTGCCTTTTCATTTGCAAATATCCCTCTTCTGTGATGTGATTAGCAGCATTGGCTCCTTTGTTTTCTGTAAAAGGTAACTACCTAAAGCAAACCTGTGCATAGTAAATGAGGACCATCATGTAATATGCCAAGAAACCCAATAAAGACTGGTCATGGCAAGGGCCAGGGCTTTTTGTTCCCCTTGAGAAAAAAGCCATGCTGTCCCTTTTCCTTCACTGGATTCAGTAGTCCGTGTGAATGTCTCATTTCATCCATAATGATGTGGACACTGCGGGCCGGTGTCTGCATCAATAAAGTAGTGGTTCCACATTGAGAAAGGCAAGAAAACCTGAGGCTAATGCCTGCCCCATCACCAGATGCTCAGCTTTTACAGTAAAGCAGTCACTTAAGAGAGAAGTATGCCATTGACCCCCACCATCACCAGTTCCAGAGCCCTGATACCAAGATTTTGCCTGGGTGGAGAAGCAGGTCATAAAGCAGATAGCCCCTAGTCCCTACTCACAGGAACTGACTTCATTTGCAACAGAGTATGGATAAGCTCTAGCCTAAGAGCACTCTCAAAACCACTGAAGGTTGTGATGAACAAATGGGAAGAGATCGGTGGTGATTCACTGGCCATGCAGACTAAACTGTCAGCTGGCTAGTTTCTTAGAGAGAACCAGAAAAAGATTGCTGGAAGGAGCCATCCTGAGTCAGAACAAATTTAAAACACTACCTAAAAAAACTATCCTAATTTCTAATTTCTGGTCCACCATATAAAGACCTTGGAAGTCATCACTCCTGTCTTCACTACAAGAAAAAAAAAGAACAAACTAAAAATCAACAACTCTTATTATATCCATCAAACAACTGAGATTACAGGGCAAACTTCAGCTCCTAACACTGGAGAGAGAATTGGATACCAAGAATCACATCTTACCAGCAGCAAAACCCAGAAGGAAGCCGCTAGTGTCAGTACTGGGGTGACAAAACAAGGACAGTAGAGGAAATTGGGCCTCTGACACCTGCAGCTACAGCTAACAGAAAACACAGTCTAACTTCTAGCTAGAGAAACATAAAACCTCACTCTCAAGACGTGTTTACCACAATTCCTTTTTACCTAATACATCACAGACAACTTTCAACAAAGAAATTATACAGCCTACTAAAATGCAAAATACAAAGTTTGAGGAGATAAAGTAAGTACCAGAACCAGACTCAGATACAGTGAAGATATTGGAATTTAGGTTGGGAATTTGTTGGTAATTTAGAATTTGTAATCAGATCAGGAACTTAAAATAACTATGATTAATATGCTAAAGGCTCTAATGGAAAAGGTAAACAACATGCCAGAACAGATGGAAAATTAAGCAGATAATTTTTTTAAAGTCAAAGAAAAAAATCAAAAGGAAATGCTAGAAATCAAAAACACCCTAACACAAATGAAGAATGTTTTGGATGGGCTTGAAGGTATGTCAACAGAAACTTCCCAAACTAGAAAGTAAAAAGAATGAGAAAAACAGAACTTCCCAACTAGGAAAAAAAGAATGAAAAACAGCAGAACAGAATATCCAAAAACTATGGGATAAGTAGAAAAAATGTAATATATACTTAATAGGAATAATAGAAGGAGAAGAAAGAGAAAACAAAACAGAAGAAACACTTGAAATAATAATGGCTGAGATTTTTACAAATTAATGTCAGCCACCAAACCACAAATTTAAGAAGCTTACAGAACACCAAGAATAAGTAAATACCTTCCCCCCCAAAAAAATCTATACCTAGGCATATCATAGTCTAACTGTAGAAAATAAAAAACAAGAGAACATCTTGTAAGAAGCCAGAGGGATACCCTGGCTGGTGTGGCTCAGTGGACTGAGTGCCAGGCTGTGAACCAAAGGGTCTCTGGTTCCATTCCCAGTCAGGGCACATGTCTCAGTTGTGGGCCATGTCTCCAGTAGGGGGCGCACGAGAGGCAACCACAAATTGATGCTTCTCTCCCTATCTTCCTCCCTTCCCCTCTCTAAAAATAAAGAAAATCTTTTTTTCCAAAAAGAAGAAGCCAGAGCAGGGGGGGTGGGGGGGCACCTAACCTGTGGTAGAACAGGACGAGAATTACATTGGACTTCTCTTCAGAAACCATGCAAGCAGAGAATGGAGTGAATACTGAAGTGATAAAAAACCCCACCAACCTAAAATTCTGTATCCCGTGAAATTATCTTTCAAAAGATGAGACAAAACAAACCTTCTCAAACAAAAATTGAGGAAATGTGCTGCCAGTAGACCTGCCTTAGAAGAAATTTTCAAAGAAGTTCTTCAGAAAGAAAAAAAATGATCTGGGTCAGAAACTCAGATCTACATAAAGAAAGGAAGAATGTTAGAGAATAAATGAAGGTAAAACAAAATCCTTTCTTCTTCTTTTGTAAAAAATCCTCACTGGAGGATATGTTTATTGAATTTAGAGAAAGAAGGGAGAGAGGGAGGGTGAGGGGTGCAGGCTAGGAGGAGAGAGAGAGAGAGAGAAACATCAATAGGTCACCTCCAGTACAAATGGAACCCACAACCTAGCTATGTGCCCTGACAGGGATAGAACCTGCAACCTTTTGGTCTATGGGACAACACTGCAACCACGAGTCATCTGGCTATGGCTATCCTTCTTATTTTTAATAACAGATAAAAACTTGTCAATAATAGCAACAAGGTATTCAGTGATTGTAACTTATGGATATAAGTAAAATGAATGACAGCAATATTATAAAAGGCAGTAGGGAGGAATTAGAAACACCATTATGAGGTGGCGGTACTACCTATGGAGAGGTACAGTGTTACTTTAAAGAAACTTAAAGAGCAATTTATCATTTTGCCTGCACTACAAAGTAATTTCACTTTAAATGGTACTTACACAGATGAAACCCGCAACTTTAGATTTCACAAATTTTTCAAATTACATGCATTTTACCACGTACTTTGGACACATTTTTCATTCCCCGATATCATTAAGCTCTAATGTAGGTGTTTCTTAAAAACACCCCGAACACCCTCTGGTTCTGGACCCGGCTGCGGCTGCGTCGCCCCCAGACGCAGGTGAAGTGGATCATAGCAAAAAAAATTTACCCCCAAAAGATACCTGCTGACACAGCACCGATAATTATCAAAATATATTCTTCCTCTTTCATAGGCTATAGGTGACTTGGAATGAGTAGTCCAAACATTCTTAAATTTAGTACTTTCCTGAAAGACACAAAGAGTTTCAGTTTCAGAGATAACTCATAATCCTCTACTGTGCACCAATTTTATGACGCATAGTTAAATTTAGGGTTTTCAAAGAAATTTCAAGTATGTTATTTAAAAACATTATGTTCAATCTTTCCTCACTCTCACGTTTAGGTTTAAGTGGGGTGACTTTTAAAAACATTGTCTGCGGAAAGACATAAGCAGCTTAAAAAACTAAAGGCATCTGGTGGTCCTATTAATACCTATTTACTAACTCCCCAGGTTCACAGCATGATGCTCCTGCCCATCACACAAAACCTTTTAAAAAAGGGGGGCTCGACCGCGTAAAATCGGCGCCCCGGAAGGCTTGGCCACCAGGTGCCCCACAGCGCTTCGCCCCGCGCCCCGGGGCCGGCGGTCACCTGGCACACCAGCGCCCGCAGGATGCCCAGGTTCGTCCTCTGTACCACGCCTGCGTCGCGCGAGAAGAAGCCCAGCGCCCGGCGACTCAGCCGGGGACACACGTTGGGCTTCCGGGTGGGGCCCATAGAGACGCGGGCCGGGCCGGGCCGCGAAGTTGACAGGGCCGAGGAGGAGGGGCGCGCCCCTAACCCCCCGCGAGGGACGGCGACCCCTACCTCGGAACCTCGGGGCCCCAACTCCCCGCGGGGACTAGGAAAAACAAGGGAGCCGGGCAGGGGACGCACGGCAATGGGGCAAGGGCACACAGCCGGCACCGCCTGGGCACCAGGAAGAGAGAAGGAAAAGCCACCCCTCTTTACGGCCTGGTCCCCGAACACCCTCTGGTTCTGGACCCGGCTGCGGCTGCGTCGCCCCCAGAACGCTTGGCCTGCCGGGGCCGTTCCCTCCTCGGGAAATGTAGTTCCCGGTGCCCTCTGAGGGAGCCGGGCTTGCTCCCAGAACTACAGTTCCCATCAGACAACAGAGACCGAACACCGACTCCCGAAGCGGCACCAGTCCACCGCGGCACCGCTCTGCCCCGCCCCTAGAGCCCCGCTCCGCCCCGTAGCCCCGCCCTGTTCCTTATGGCCCCGCCCCGTCCCCTCTGGCCCTGCGGAGGCTGCGCTGTTGGACTGGCGCGCCTTTCCGGTCTGCGCTGGGCGCGGGGAGAAGCCTGCGAGCCGCTGTGCCCGCACGCAGGGTCCTGTCCCAGGCTGCCTGCCTGCCCCCACGTCTCTCAGCCCCTGACTTTCGCTGTGGGAGGCGCTGTGTCCAGTGCAACCCCCCAAAGCAGCGTCCTGTACTAAAGGTACGCCCCGCGGCTTTCCCCTTCAGTAACACGTTGGACGACGTGGTTGAGGTTAACTGTTAAACATGTTGGGTCTATACACCCTGTGCTTTTGTATTATGAGTTAGTGATGGAAGATGCTAGGCATGCCCACCCAACCAGAGTTGAATTACTCTTTCCCAGAGGCCCGCCCTTCTGCGGCTTGCCAGGACACAGGCTGATTTTGCGATAATTGCAGCATTTTCCTTCCACTCGCTTCCTTTTTCCCCTTCCTTCATGGAAATAAAATGTGAACCGTTTACATTCTTATTGGACTGCCTAAACAATTCCATGTTGAATCCTCTAAATAACACTAAAATAGCTAACCGGGTCAAAGTTCCGAATACACTACATTTTCAGTAATCTTGCACCAAATGCGTCCCATTGCTCTGCTTGTAAGTCCTTTGAGAATGCTGTCTTTGCATCTCCCACGTAGGCTTGGCGTGCTACCTCTTGTTCAATACGTACGCGAGGGAGAGATGGCATGGGACAGCAAAAAGTACAATACTGAGTGGGTGCATTGGGTCGTAGTTGAAGCATATAGTTTAGTAAAAATTTGCCTTATACCTTTTTAACCCTGCTGAATTCCCTTTAGGGGCTGGGCTTTTGCTGATTTTTCATAACTTATTTACAGCATACTGTGGAGTGCTTTGTGTATTTTTAGACAGCGCTAAAATAGTTAATTTGGTAATTCATGAATGCAGCTGTCACTGAGAAAACTGAGACTCAGAAAAAAGATAACTGGATTTTCTTTGGCTGAAATGAAATTCAAATCATTGCTAAATTGAATCCATCATTTCTCTTTCCTCTCTCCTTCCCCTTCATGGTCACTTGTTTGCCTTCTTGTGGTGTTTATCTCAGCATGAAATCCCCCAAGAGACAGTCATAATAGATACCTCTACCCCCTCATCCACAACCAAGTCCTTAAAAAAAATGTCCTCTGATGATATATTTATTGATTTGAGGGGGGAGAGAGAGAGGGAGGGAGGGAGGGAGGGAGGGTGGATGGGAGGCAGACAGAAGGGGGGAGAGGGGAGAGGAGAGAGACAGAGTGACATAGACAGGTTTACCTCTGGCACATGCTCAGACCTGGATGGAACAAATCCCCAAACTAGGTATGTCCCCTGACTAGGGATGGAATATGCAACCTTTTGGTGTACAATTTTTTTTAACTTTTTTAAAATTGATGTCTGAATACAGTTGTCTCCACTTTCCCAGGCCCTACCCACGCCCACCTCCCACCCTCAATCCCACCCCCCCTTTGGCTCCTTTTGGGTACAATTGATCATCCCCTAATCACTGAGCCACCTGGTGGGGGCACATAACTGAGTCCTTTTGATTCAGCTCTTCTCCATCCTTATCATACTCCCTGGGTAGGATATTATTTTATTAGCAACCTCCTTTCTGCCTTAAATACTTTCCATTCCGCCATTCTACAGTGCTGCTGGTGATTTTTCTAAAGCACAAACCCTGCTATTTTTCTATTAAAATCTTTGAGTGGCTCCCAATCACCCAGAGCAGAATTTGTCAAACCCAAGTGTATACCCAGGATTCTCTATTGTTAAAGTATTTTCAGTATGTTAAATATATGCAAATATAAAACTATATATAAATTCCTTATGTTGTATCTTTTATGCAACTGTAACTTATAAATAGTTATAAGTTAAATGTAGCAAAACTAAAAACAAATTCAAATGAATACTTATTCATTGTTACCAATGAGACTGTTTTTGCCAGGCCTAAGAAACTCTAAAAGAAAATGTTCTCTGTCCTCCCTGTTATAACTTCCTTATTATAGAAAGGCCCATCCATTTTGTCTTTGTGTTGAGAGATCAGTCGCTCAATGCCCTCACCTCTTTTCTTTCCTTAAACCACTGTAAAGTCTTCATTCCTTCCAATGTGTCATGATTTTATTTGACCTTCGCTTGGCAAACAACATCATTCACATGAAGTACCCCTGGTTGTTTTCTCATTAACCTGTGCCCATGACAAATGGTACCACTTCTAAACACAAATGTGAACTGAAATCTTGTGACAGTACTTGATTAAAAGGTGGTCATCTAGGTGATATAGAGTGTCCTTTTGTTAGGAAATTTTTTTTTGGTTAGGTTTTTATCAAACTGAAAATTAAAGGTTTCTCTAAGAGAAATCTCCTAGCCTGGAGGGTACATACATGACTCCATAGGGGTCTGTATTAAGTACCTTATAGGACAAAATCTGAATCCCTAGGTATTGCATACAGAGTACTCTGTTATCTGCAACTCACACACATTTTCTGCCTCATCTCTTTCCACCCTTCACATTTGCTCTCATGATTCTGATGTTGCTCTCTTGCTAAGCCATCGTGCCTTTACATTTCAAATTTTCTTTGTCTGGAGCTCCCTTCCTGTCTGTCTCTTATCTGTTTACCTCAAGACTCACCCCCAGGTATGACAGCTCCACTCAGACACTTTTTCTGACCCCTCCGCTGTGGTTGTAGCTTTGCCCTCTTCCAGCATGTTACTCTGCATATGGAGGTTGTGGCACTATATTGGAATTGTTGTTTGACTTCCCACCATTGTTTTTAGGTAGTCCATTCATTTATTCAACATGCATGTGCATTAACTATATCTCAGGCAGTGTAATAAGGATGCATCTGTATACTGAATGAATGGACTACTCTAAAGGCAATGTTTGGCCCTGGCCGATATGGCTCAGTTGGTTGGAGTGTCACCCAGTAACCGAAAGGTCATGGGTTGGATTCCTGGTCAGAGCACATACCAAGGTTGCAGGTTTGATCCCCAGTCAGGGTGCCTACAAGAAAGACAACCAATCGATGTTTCTTTCACATCAGTGTTTCTCTTTCTCTCTCTCTCCCTCCCTCCCTCCCTCCCTCTCTCTTTAGGATGAAAAAATGTCCTTGGGTGAGTGAAAAAAAAGAGACAATGTTTGTATACAATCTTTTATCAGCAACTAAGTATTTTTAACATAGATGCAGATTTAGTCTCCCTTCAATTTTTAAATCAGTAGGAAACCACAATGTCAATAAGAAGAAATAACTTTAAAAACTTAAACCCCAACAGTTCTACCTATAAAGTAATTATTTTCCATTTGTTGAAAGTCAAATGGCATGAACAAATACCCCTAGCTTAGGATTTGGAAATGACTTCTCTTAATTTGGGGCATAGAACAGACTTTAGTTCCTTTTTTTTTAGTCTGTATCTATGTGGTATTTACAAAATACTTAGACACCTTTGCCATGATATTTTAAAGACAAGGAAGAGGAGATAATGAAATCAGAAGTTAAAATGGTTTTTGTTCATATATTTTGTTTAAAGAAGCATGTTATAACCAAGTCAATATATAAACACTCAGGTATTAAACCTGAACATTTGTTCACAGACCAAACAATTTGAACCAAGGGCATGAGATGTCATTCATTCAACATGTAATTATTTCCATGTACAACATTCTGGGAAACCTTTTGGCATAGAGTGTAACAGTGAACAGAATGAACAAGGTCCCTACCTGTCCGGAGATAGATAATGTTGCAAAGAAGATAAAACAGGGTGATAAGCTTGACAAACAGTGGCTGGGAGCCCTGCTTTAGCCAGAGTGGTCAGGGAAGGCCTCTCTGAATGGGGGACTTTGGGTTGAACCCTGAATGATGGGAAAGAATCTGCAAAGAACTATGGTTAGAATAGTCCAAGTAGAGAGATGCTTGCTTAAATGCAGGTTGCCCCCAAGGCAATAACAACTTTGGCTTACTCTGAAACTGTCCGAACTGCTAGTGTGGCTCTTTATTGTACATGAGAGAGCTGAACTTAGAGAAGGTAGGCTGGAATCAAATTATGTCAGATGTAAGGAATTTCAGATTTTATTCTGTTATAATGGGAAGCATTTGAAGGAGAGTGACATGATCTAATTTGTGTTACAATAAGGTCTCTGTGGCTGTGGTGTGTAGAATGTAATGGGCAGCAGGCAAGAATGGAAACAAGGAGACAGGTGGCTGTTCCATTGGTCCAGGTAAAAGATAATAGTGTTTGGACTGGAGTGCTAGCAGGAGAGATGGAAAGAAGTGAACAGATTCAGGACATATTTTGGAGGTAGAGATGACAGGATTTCTAATGCAGTGGATATTAGTGATGAAGAAAAAAGATTCTAGTGAAATCATCACAAAGCAGGACCACAAGTAAGCATCCCCAAATTCCCCAGAACAAATGAAAAACAGGGAACTACTCATGATACAATGTCAATATTTTATTAAATATATACATCAGTATTTTAGACGTTAATGCTAAAGTATATTAGTATCTGTTCTGTGGCTGTGGCATGTGGAAAGAGGGGAATAAATCAGAGCCTGAAAGTAGACAGGGGTCATATCATGTGGCATCATGATAATGTGGTGTGAAAATCACCAGAGATACAGCCCTTAAGAGACAGTTGGGAACAACATCAGGGACAAGAATGAAATAGAGAGACCAGTTGGCAGGTAATTATAGTAGTTCAGTGAGAGTCACTTTGGGAAATTTATTTCAAAATTATTGAAGCTTTTGACCACAAATTTGGTTCTTGTGTTTTTTATCTATATATACTTTAATTATATTTGTCTGAACATGTAGTGTGTGTGTGTGTGTGTATAACATATAATACATATATAAAATCCAGAAAGAATTAGGCTTAAAGGATTGGTAGTAAAGTTTGGAAACT